ATACGAAGAGGTAAATACACTTTGTTGTGTATGATCACACAGCGAGTCCAATATTTATCTTTATTCATATAAACAAGATAACTCCATACTTTTTTTTTTTACTTTTCTCAGTGTGATTAAAAATATCAGCTTACCAAATCCACAAATAGACCAAATAACACTGCGGCATGGGCACGCACTAGTAAAATAAACACATGCTGCACACTATCTGGCTCTAAATTAATGATTTGATGTCAGTACAGAGGATGATTTCACCTTTTATACTGTCTACCTGTCGGGAAAGGTGCGGGTGAAATAGACTGAAGTCCCCTCGGCTTACCACTAATTACATCTGAGGACATAAGGACTTATGTGTGACACAAAGATCAATAACTTAGATCGTCTATATGTGCTCGAGCTAATAGCCAATAATCTTAATCACAGATATAATTCAAGTACAAATCTAGTTAATATGTAAATAAAATGTTGTTATAGGCACATTTTCCTGTAACAATAAAAGATTTGTCCAACTGTGTTTATTTTTCAGAGATTCCAAACAGCATTTAAAGTGTTTTTCTGTCTTCTTTGCTCATATGACTGTTAATAACAAACATATATCAACCATTACTTCCACTCTGCTGCTGCTACCGCCCGCGGCTGGAGAGACCTCTGACTGCCATCTAGTGTTCTCACTAAACTGCCCGGTAACTGATGAACACCCTTTATGTGGCTGTGTGTATGTTTGGGGGGAGGACGGGGGGTTTGTGTAATGTTTCTGGGCCTTTAATGATCTACTAAGATGTCCAGCTGGTCGGTCCTATACTTACTGCTTCCTCACACTGAGTGTTCCTCAGTCGCCTGGCAACATCCAGCGCCGTCTCTCCGTTCTGATTGGCTGAAAGGGCGAGGACGGACAATCAACAGTTAGGAGTCTGATAGGTGATGACATTAACTGGAGGACGAAGCTCGGCGTGTGACTCACTGATGTCGGTGGCAGGCTTGCCCCTCAGGAGTAACTTGAGGCACTCTGGCTTTTCGTACATGCAGCAGTAATGCAGGGCGGTGTTCCCCCACTCCGTCTGCTTATCCAGGTTACCGCTGAGTTAGGAAAAAAACAAAAACAACAAGACTCGCGCAGTGAGGTCACATGCCTGAGGGTGTTTTCCACAGTCCTGCAGCTTTAGGTTAATATGTTATTGCTCAGGATTTTGAGGTTTAGCATGAAAGAAGAGGATTGGAAACAGCACATTAGACATCTTGAGTAGAGGTGAGACATTAAATCATTCAAGAAAAACTACAAACTACAGCTAATGGCGCAGTAGCAATCTTTAGATCTTCTGCAATTCCCATGAAGGCAACAAAAAAAAATATTAAAAGACAAGGCCTAGACATGGGTTTAATTAATGAGGGGGTCTCAGTTCAGCAGTGGAGACTGTGTGCAGTTGGAGCAGTGGTGGGTAAACAATTGAAAGGAGAGGAATAAATTAAGGCAGAGAACAAGTGCTTGACCCATTTCTGTTTGCCTTGTGGGAATCTGAGCTGAGCCGTGTGAAGCTTTTCCTCTGCACTGCTTTATTAGACTAGAGCACAGAAAGTGACTCGCAGCAGACAGACGGATCAAATTTAATACAGAGTGTTTACACCAAGCTGTGCTGTTTTATACACAATTTTACTCCAAAGTACTCGCGTGTGTTTTTATGAAAGTTGAACAGCTCTTTGCACTCCTCCTGAGCCAAGCTGAATGCACGCAGCTGCATTTTCTAAAAGGTTTAGCAGCTCTTTAAAAAACAAAAAGTACCTGTTCTGCACAAGGAAGTCCACCAAGTGCAGGGAGGTCTGGTCAGCAGTCCGTACAGAGTAATGCAGTGCAGTCTCTCCAGCTTCCTGCAGGGGGCCATCAAACACAGCAAAGACTCAGTGGGGCGATCTTGGGGAGCATCCATTCTGTATTCTCTTTCTGTCTGCGACTCTTTCAGCATTTAAACAAGCTGCAGTAAACAAAATGGCTCCTAAAAATAATACTTCTGCAGGCCCGATGCCGGCTTTTGTCCATTCCTGGGAGTCTCTTGCTTTTATTTCATCTGCCTTGCAGCACCAAAGCTGGATCTAGGTGGTGGTGTTTTAGATTCAGCATTAAAGATGGAGGTAAAGGCGAAACATATGGAGCTAACGCTTAAATTTAGTGGATCTGTTGGCATCTGAGAGGGGGTCGGATTTAATCACGCACTGCTGTCACGCTGTCTGTGTTTTGAGTTGGGGGTGGGAAGTCACGGTGCAGCCCTTCGGATGCACTGACAGCAGCAGATCAGATATCGGTGAGTCAGACTTCACAGCGCGTTCAGCAGCACCACCCCCCCACTCTCCGTCACCAGACGATATCCTCTTTTATTCCTCTGCAGCATTGTGCACTTAATTTTTCATTAGGGAACGACCGTGTTCGGGTTATAAAACCTTGACCCATTTACGTCAGATTAAGTCTTATCACGCATGTTGTTCACGGTACTGTATCCTCACCAGACACTGCTTGTTATTCAACTTTCATTTTTGCCTAAAAACAGCAAAAAGGCAAGAGAACAAAAGCGAGAGGGGGAAAAAACCCCAAAACAAGCCGAACCACGAAATAAAAAACAGACGCATGAACTGAGCCGCTACAGATGTCGCCATCTAAATATATGTGGACTCAAAACACATGATGCCCTGCAATGTGGTGGAGGTTTGCTGGCTATCACCACCTGCTGGAGAAGTTAACCCGGATGACTCAGAATTTTCCAACTGTTACACCCATTTCTAACTGCCAAATAATTCACCAGCTGGCAAGAACGTATCAGCAGCGGCGGTGTTGCTGGGAAGAAACCACACATGAGGATGAAACCACTGCAGGAACACGCACAGAGCACTGACCAGGCGGCTTCTGAGCGTCGCAGTCTGCACGTGTTATGATTCCAGGCATGTTTTTGCATAGTCCTGTCAGGAGAAGCGGACAGCTCTGGCTTCAAGTGTTCATGTTTGAATTCATTTGAGCTCCTCAAGCCATTTAATGGTTTAATTACTGCCCATTTCCATACAGGGTTCATTCATGTGCTTTTTTTCTTGATTATTTGTGATTTCTGCTCGCTGTATGACCCTCTACTGGCCTTTTAAACTTTTAACCCTGTGGCTGATTTTGGCTTAGAGTTACCTGACAGTGCGATCTGTAGCTGGCTACAGATCACCGAGGTGTCGTCAGAGTTGGATATAATGTTCTGCTTTACTGGCATAAATGGTCCCCATCTGTAAAGATGCACTTTTTAAGGCACAATTTTATGATCTTCAGCAAATTGTTTTAGGCGTGCAATTTTATGTGTAGTGCTATTACAAAGCAGATGTGGTGTTTTACTCTCTTATAATCACAAGATTACGCTTCTCCATTTTCTTTCCGCATTGCATCACTTTGGGGAGATGTCCTAGGCAGCAAGTTGAAGGGAAATATGACTGAAAATTATTCTATTTTGCCTCCAAGAGTATTTCTTTTTTTTTTCTTCCATAACATATAGTTAATAAAGCCTGGACTTCATTGTTGATCCATTTTCTGGGCTATGTTCCACTTTTAGAGCCTTTTCTTTAACAGTACGTTGTGTACACCAGAGCTTTTTTTGCCAATAAAAAGTTTCTCTTCTGCCCTGTAGGACCTATAAAAAGTCCTATAATTTAGGTTTCTGCAAACTTTGATAGTCTACAGTTCCTAAACTGTGGACACACAATAAAAGAGAGATTTCCTTCAAGTTAAACAAATAACTAAAAAGTTTCAAAAAACATGACTTATTATAGAATTTCCCAGAGGTACCTACCCAAGGGATTAATAAAGTTCTATCTATCTATAAGACTAAGACAACTGTTGGACAAATCTAACACCGTCAGTCTTTAAAAGCACTAATGTTTATTTTTCGATTCACCTCTACTGACATTGATTTCGACACCATAAAAAAAAAAATGTTTGAAACAAAATTATCTTATCGTGTTTTTAACTTTGGATAAATCAGACCTTTAGATGTCTCTTTGACTCACCGGTCCTGCCTCTGGAAGCGGCTCCATAAGCTCCACCCCCTCCGCATAGACCTGAATAAGTGCCAGCAGGTCCCTGGACTGAACCGCCTCAAACAACTCGATCATTTTAGCTGCCGCAGACGTGCACGTCTTCCTCGCGTACTTGTGGTCCACATACTTGGCGTTGATGAACTCCTTCCTCACTGTCCTGTGGACAAAATGTCAAAAAAAAGTTAGAGAGTTGAGTTGAGAGATAAAGATTTGTTTATATATAAAACTTACATGTCACTGGAGGGAGTGGGCTTTGGTGATGGGGAGGGGAGGTTTCCCTCCATGATCTCATTGAAGCTACTGTTCCCTACATTCTTGGCCAGCTGTGGGAGAAAGAAGGGAAACATCAGCAACCAAAGAAAGACACATGATGTATCCCTGCAGCTTTACAGATTAAAATTGGCTCCATCCTGTCTTCACAATACTCTTTCATGATTCCTCATATTTCAGGTGAAAACAGTGAAGGGTGTGCCTCGAAAATAAGATCAGTTCCCTCGACAGGCCGTTCGTCTGACTCACCAAGAGTTCTGAGGTTCCTAACTTGTCGAGCTCCATGGACTGGATGCGGGAAATGTGGACTCCCATCTCTCGGTGGATGCCAGAGCACTCGATGCAGGTGAGGATCCCCAGGTTGGTGGACAGCCACTTTGGGTCTACAGACAACAGTGTAATACAAGTTATTACGGCTACAGGAGGCTGATATATAAACAGGTGGTGATTTGACCTCCTACAGTGAGGATGTCAAACTCATTTTACATTGTGGGCCACATATACAGCCCGCTTTGATCTTAAGTTGACCGAATCAAAGAAACTCTCCTTTCTTCCAGTCTAAATTTTAAGTATGTATTTAATTCCTGAGACTTTAATACAGATTTTAATACAAAAAGTGCAATTTTAACAATAAATCTCAGTTTTTCTAAATGATAAAGAAATGCTGCTTTAAAAACAATGTTTTCACTGTGCACATACTGTGTAAAAAAACAAAAAACAAAACAAACCCAAACAAACAGAAACCTTTAGATGACTTTTATTTATTACTTAATTACTTCTGTATAGTATGAATAGCAATGAGGTAGGTCTTCAGCCATCAGTAAAAATTTTGTAAAATGTATGAAAATAGAGTTTGAAGTCCAAACTTTATGCGCTCATTCACATTTTCCAGTACCATCTAGTGGTTTGGATTAGAGTCTTTGCCGGGACAATTCTGGGCCCCGGGCCTTATGTTTGACAACCCTATCCGACAGCATCGAGGGCTCAGCTGATAAACCTCCCCACATGTAGCAAATCTTACATGCAGCATGCAGTTTTATTTCCTTTTTAAATTGCTGCTGCCCTGCAATCTGCTTTGCAACCCACCTCCGCTACAGATGCCTCTTTTCAAGCTCTTCCTGACTTCTTATATAACTGATGCCTGTTCTGTATTGCGTTATGCTTGCCGCACTAGTCACTGGCCGCAAGCACTGTGACTTTAAAACCGCCACAAAAACATTTATAGCGATGCTTGAGGCGTGCTTGACTCTGATGACACAAAAGAAGAAGTTGAAACAGGAAACAAAGCGATTGCTTAGGTTTTTTTCTTCCTCCACAGAATGTCTCATCTTTTCTAACTGATGCAACACTCTCTCCCTCAGTTTTCTGGAAATATCTGTGGTCCTGCATTAACACTGAAATGCATGTAAAGCCAGACCATTTGTAAGGGTAACAGCACTAAGCATAAACTGCCAGTTAGGCTTTGCATGTCCACATGTACCATATCCTCAAATCACTGCAACAGAAAACAACCATCTTGTGAATAAACTAGCCCTGATTGAGCTGCTAAACCACAGCTTATTTTTCCACTATATTCATTGACTTTATTTATTAATGCATCACCACTGCAAAGCACAAAGGCGCACGCGCACAGAGATGTGGCAGATCCTCGAAACCTCCAGAGACTGAGCGACTTTGCTGACTGATGTTCTGATGCAATCCGGGGGAATTAAGGAAGCTTTAAACTGTGACCTCAGTGATGCTGATGCTGTGAGGCGAGGGGTGCTGCTCTGTCTGAAGCTGACAAGTTAACACCAGAGGAGGCTGGTGGAAATGATAGAGACAGCCCAATAACCCGGTGAGTCATGCACACAAACACAGACTGCAGGAAGGCACGTGCACACATTTACACAACACAATTAACAGATGCATTGTGAATTTATGGGTCCTCTATAGCTGATTAATGCTATCTTACAGATGAATTTCCAGTCAGAGCATCGAATGAGCAGCAGAGGGAACAACGAGATGACCTTTGAAAGTCATAAAAAGGTCCTTCAACCACCAAATTAATTTTATGTGTTGAGGAAAGGGAAGCACGGGCGTCACCTTCTCAGTCAGATAAAGGAAAACAACAGGAATCAGATGCTTAAATCCACATCTGGAACATGTGTTATGCCAAAGCCATGTATATGAACAGATGCAGCAACAAGAGAGCAGACATGACAAATTACCTCCGCTCTCTGAGGACCGCAGGGGTCGACGAAGCGTGTGTGACTTATGTAACATCGTGATGTAATGATGTTGTTTCTCAAAGCCCAGAAATGTTTTTTTTTTCTCCCCCAAGAGATAAAGTCCACCGCCCCAGTACTCTGCAAGCTGCTGTGTGTGTTTATACAGACAGAGTGGAGTGTGTGGATGCAAGCCTGTGTGTGCTGAGAGTCAGAGGGTCTGAGTGTCCACGGCACTCCTGAGTGCTGACTCTTTGCTTTCTAATGTGAGGGGGAGTATCGGGATAGAGCTGCGTCCTGAATGCTAACAACACCAGCATGCGCGCACACACACTGCAGTGTAGCTCGCTCAGCAACCATCTAACTGAAGGACACGGAGTTCAAGGCAGCGGTGACATTGTAAAGCTACCGAGACAGGAGAGCGGCTTTAAATAAAACACGGTCCACATTTAAATGGACTCACGCAGCTCCACAAACACACCTGCAGCTCCACAGTCGCAGCAGACTTCATTGCCCGGCATGCGCAGCACGTCTTCTATGATGGCTTTGGTGAGGTCCTCTAATCCGTCCTCCCCTCCGCTGCTCTGCTCGCCACGAAACGCCATGTTTAACGCCTCCTCCTTGCTGTTGGTCAGCACCGAGATCCAACTGCAAGAGGGAACATTGTTAGAGACATTACAAACAATAAAATAAAGTTTTACTTTATTGAGATAAAAACAGCTAGGGGTAAAGTTAAGGAGAGCAATTCAGCATAGCATCATTTTGTGATAAAATGTCAGGAAAGCGCCCATCACAGGTTCTTAAAGCCTTCAGTGACCTTTTATCTTGTCTAAATGCATCAAAATCACAAAAATACACAGAAAAGCAGCAACAGGGAAGCTAAAAGGAGGGATTATGTTACATTTTTGCTTTACAAAGATGCTAAAACACACAAATATTTGCCCATTCTTTGGTTTCTTCGAAAAGGTTAAAGAGGAACCAATGCACCCACGCAGGCCTGTGGCCATTACAACGAGGCGGGCGTACAAACACGACCTCCTGCATTTCACTACACAAAGCACAATCTGCACACACGCAGCCGATCGCAGCCCTTCCTCTGTCACTGCCACTCAATCCCCTCTCAGAGCAGACAGACAGTGGGCACACAAACCGATGCATTCGATTGTCTGTTTATCTCCATGTGTGGAAAAACAAGATATTTTAATCCACTAATGCGTAGGTGTGCAGATGCCAGGCCAAAAGTGTTTGCGTGTTTGCTTACAATATGCATTATAATATGCTGCCGGCCTAATTGCGGAAGAGCGTGATTACGTGAAGCGAGCGCCCTATGAAACACTAAATATTTGAAGGGAACTACAAAGAAGACGACGCCATCGCCGACACCACTGCAGTTGGAATTGCGTGACGGAAGGAGCAGAGCAGAGCCGCGAGTGGCATCCCAAAGGACTACAAGCAACATGAAGTGTTCAAGCAGGACTGAGCGAAGAGGCAAAGCCACAGCGAGGCTGGAAGAATGTTTCCACCATCAGAGGAAGAACAGCCACAGCATCACAGAGTGGCAGATCGACAGTATTCAGACTCGGGTTTGTTTTCACTCCTCTGTGTTTATGAGTGAATCGGCTCCGGGGGAATCACATCTTATGTCCAACAACGCCATCACAACACTGCATTCAACTGTTTTTGTTTATCTGTACGCAACTGTTGATCTCATCCCAGCTCCTGTTTGTTGGGCAAGCTATTAAAAAGCCTGTAAAGCATGAAAACAAAAATCACCAAAATATAATTTCTTTTAAAATGGAGTTTTAATTGAACCTTGTGACAATTTAAAAAATAAAAAATAAAAAAATTAAATATTAAACAAATATCTGGCTTTTAAAATAACACTTTATTGCTTAAACGTGTATTATATTAACAGGGTTAATAGTTTCATTAAAAATCACATACATACGTTGACAATCGATTAATCCCAGTTTCTCAGTTCTATTCTTTCATTGTTATTTGTGTTTTATTTTATTATGTTAGTGTTGTGGCCTTTGTTTTAAGTTAAAGTGAGGTCGCTTTGAGCTTCGAGAAGTGAAGGCCTTTAAACACTGGTCGTGTAAAATCTGGGTGAATTTTTCATGCTTTAAAAATATTTTTCTGACTCATTCTTAAGTCCGCCGCTCACACTGACCGCGTACTTCCACTGGATGAATCTGTGATATTTATTCTTTCAGTAGACGCTCGGTCTTTCAGATTTTCACATGAGAATAAACAGATCACTTGAAATTTCTGGAAAATTGAGGCGGCCGGTTTCCACAACACGATGACAAATTAGCGACGTTACATGGTTACCGCAGACACCAAAAAACGACTGTTGCACAGTTTAACGTGCCTGCAGCTGCTTTACTCTGACCAACCAGCCTTAATTTACAAATTTAACTTTCTGTTCGTCCTCCCACATGGTAAAAGCAAAGCCGTGTCTTTGTGACATATTAATTATTCAAATTTCACATGAATGCAGACGGCATACTCTGCACTGCAGAACTGCTCCTGTAACTCAAAAAACACAACGTACAGGCTTTTATATAGTTCCCAAAAATTATCTAACGCTTGTTTTTTTAGCCACAATGACGACTAAATTTGTCCTCATGGAGTCTGACTACACAGACAACTCGCCAATTAACAATATGACTTCTTGTGTCATAAATACGATTCGACTTCAACGGAAACGGCAAAAGTGAACAACGCTAAGGCACTTTTTTATATCACACCTCCTTATTTTTCATGTGCAGTCACTATAACACTGCTGTAAAACGAATTTAAATCTCTTAAATAGGTAGCACAACCGTGGTTATTCCTGTGTATGTGTGTCTGCTCGTGCGTGAGGGTATGGGGAAGCAACAGTATGAAGTTACAGCGACCTGAATTACTCCAGACCACCAATCCCACTGCCATCCTCGCTGCCAAAGAGCCGCAGCCTCACTGCTCTCTACAAAGTGAAAAACACTTCCTGTGCTCAAGAGTGACAATGAAGCGACACACCGGCGACTAACCGGCGTCCCATTAATGAAAAACCTTTAGCTGACAGCTAAAGACACCTTTAGCGAGATCACACATAGAAGAATAAATGGGTGTGTAGACTGAGGCGAAGTGGTGTCAGACTGATTCAAACAGCGATAACAAGCAGAACGAGGATCATGTGTCTGTCGTTACCCTGAAGTACTCACATGACAAACTCCTGCTCATCCTCGGCCTGGAAATGATACGTCCGGTTATCTGCAAACAATAAACGGTGGAGTTAAAAAATGCAAATGTCTACTTTTGCATTTATGATAGCCAGCATGCAGCAAACGATTCTAACGCTTATCTGTGTTCTTAATACACTATTATACAAAGAAAACTGCATGTGGAGTTTCCACAGGTCCTTTTACAAGAGGCAACTCTCATCATATTACAAGTGTTTGTCACCGAGCCATTCAGGCATGCGTTAAAGTGCGTGACCGTGTGTGTGTGTGTGTGTGTGTGTGTGTGTGTGTGTGTGTGTGTGTGTGTGTGTGTGTGTAACTTACGAGAAATGAGATCAAAGCATTTCCGGTCCTCAGTACTTGGTTTCACCTGGCAGGTGAGCAGGTTGAGTTTGACTGGCTGCCTGTTGGACTGTAAGAACAAACACAAAGATCACACACTGGACCACAGTGGAAATATTACACACAAGCACAACACCGTCCTCACATCAGGGACATAAATATTTCGTTGCTTTGGGGATTTAAGTTCAGTCAAACATCTCAAAATGAGAAGCAGTCGACACGTGTATGCATGTAAGCTGGTGTTCCTCGGATGAACTGCAGTGACTGTGTGGATCACTTTTCATCGTTCAGTGACATCATCGTCGTATTACCCACAGAAACAGTAATATCTGTGGGTAATATCATCACCTGGATGAGCTGGCGACCCGTCAGCCTCTCCTACCTCATTGAATAATTCACTGCCATTAACCTGTTAGCAGTCGGACGTACCGCCCACGGTACATTGGATGGTTTAGGGGACTAATTGTAAATTTGTAGGACTGCTAAGGGGTTAATAACTAGATGTTTTCAAATTCCCTTCATCTTAATCCCGGCAAAACTGAGGCTCTAATTTCCAGTTCTTACGATCCCCACCAGGAATTTTGCTATCAATATTATTCCCCTGCATTTGAATTTTGAATCTAAGAATCCTTGCAAAACTCAAACCTCTACTGCCACCCAATAATTTAGAACTTTTAGCAGTCGCCTTAATTTTCTCCCGTCCGATTCCCTCTCCTTTCTCTTCAGCCAGTCTTTAACTGGTCCAGAACGCAGCAGCTAGGCTAAGCCTCCTGGCAGTAGCGTCTTAAGGTGGCACAAATTGCCTGGAAGTGCAAGTTCAAGAACACCCACCTGGCCAGGTCACCACTGAAACGCCTCACAACGTATTAGTACCGGCATTGTCATGACACGAGCGATTATACATCATAGCCTGTTATTTTTGTCAAAGGTCTATTTGAACACTTGGGTTCACAAGAACTCGTGCAGGATGTTTCATAGATGCATCTATGGTTTCATTCAAACAGTTGGGTGTCCACGCCGCCCACCCGCTCGGCCCTTAAGCCTTCAGTCTGAGTGGTAACTAGCCACAGCTCACATATCACCCCTGTTCTTGCTTCCCTTCACTGGCATCCAGTGAAACTCAGAATCCATTTAAAAAGAAAATTATTGAGAACACATGAAACCCTACATGGCCAAGCTTCAGCACATGCAGCAGCCCTTAAACTGTTCCACACTTTTTAGGGCTGTAACTCCTAATGTTTGGAACAAACTTCCTCAGCCTATCAGGTCGGCCGAATCTCTGGTTTGTTTTAAACGAAGCGGCTGAAGAGTCATTGCTATAAGTTAGCGTCTCTGGAAGTGTGTATGCAGGAATGAATGCAAGGCCGTATGTTTGTGCGTCTGTGTCCTGGAACATGTAGTCTTATCTTTAATATGATGCTGTCGTCAAACTGTGAACCAAATAAATGGATTATTCTCTGCATCATACGGTCAAATAAAGGTTAAACTTCATCACCCTTAGCTGTAGTGCCGATTAATTACAACAATCGTGAACACAGCTAAGCATCAGCATTTAACACTGTCATTGTGA